CCCTTTTTTTCTTTTTAAAAATTGAAGAAGTTGTAATTTTACACTAGAACTTTGGCTACTTCACTTAAATTAATGTTTAAAGCTGTTTATGATTATTCTGAACAGAATAACAATGTACTAATTAATAAGTGATTTTCAAATACTGAAAAAAACCCACATTCATTACTGATCAATTGATATATACTGTATGTGCCTGTCTTTTACACATTTTTGTGGCTCATGACAAACTTGTGTGAAGGTCTTATGTGACCAGCACAATGAACCATAAAACTCAATTATTTAAAACTAACTGATGTTTCAACTCATTTATACCTGCTTGCACTCTCCCTATCAGACTAGACAGGGTAGGTCTTGTTTAATATAATACTTGTAACCTTTTGATTAACTAGTAAAATAAAGCACCTGTCCTTTAAAAAATGCTGCTTTATTATAAGTTGCATTTTGAAATATTCACAATTTTTACATTAATTTTGTACACTAGGAGATCTAGTGAGCACACTTCACCAGCTTGGCCAGATGCACTCAATGGCTGGAGATGTGGACAAAGCCATTGAATCCTACAAAGAATCACTTGAGGTTTTTAGGTAAGGATTGTGCAGTGTAAAATATGTAGTAGACCCAAAAATACACATTTCAAACTCTAATTATTTGGAAATAGTAGATAAGATAGATAATTCTGTATAGATAATTTCTGTGAATTTTATTTTAAATTACAAAGGGAAATAACAAACATTTCTTTCATTCCTTATTTCAGTATTGATTATTGTTCTTAAAACTTCCCCTAAGTCAACACAATGTCACTTAGTATTATTTTATAATTAATTTTTAGAGAAATACACAATGGAGAACTGGCCCCAGAAATGTGTATTACACTTGGCAATTTAGCTACTATGTGCTATGTGAAGGCCTGTATCTGTGAAGACATAGATAGTGAACTGGAGATGATTCTGTCAGCAGAGCAATACTTTCAGGTCAGCTAATGTTTTTTTTATACCTACAATAAAATTAAAACACTACTCAAAATATTACATCCAGTTATCAACTTTTTTCAGTAATTTAAGCTATCTAAATTTTTTATTGAACAAAGAAATTTTTCAAGATGGATATTTACAATGTTTCTGAAAAAACATTTTTAAAATGACTTAATTAGTTTCTTAATTCAAAAATTGTGAAAAAACAACAAACTTGAATATATAATACCGGTACATATATAGGCCTTTGTATTATATATATGTAGTATAGTAATTCTGAAAACCATTTAGATAAGTAGTTATATATTTAAACAAGTGTTCAAAGGACAAGTGAGCAGTATTTTGCTTTTAACTCAATAATGAACTTAGCTAACTTCCAGTACATTCATCCCATAACCTACCAAATAGAAATACATTTATAAGACTGTTGTTTATTTTTATGAAGCTTAGATTCACCTTTAGTACTTGGCCTAGATAGTCCATGTAAACTAAAAAGTATTATAGATTGTAAATTCTTTGTTGCATTCTATATCTTTTCATTGTTTATTTATTCTTGTATGACTTACAGAGTTATCCCTTTGGTATAAAGGATATCAGTTTGATTGCTTCATTTATTGTTGACCATTCTTCAATTTCCTTTTTCTTTGATAAATCAATTTTATAAACTCACAAAAAACTTATTCTATATAAAAAGAGTTGACAATATCTAATAACCACAATTCATTATTTTATATTATAAATGTTGGGCAAACTCCTCCATGCTGTAGACGTTCTGATCTTTTTCCAAACACAAAAAATCTTAAGGGCACTCTGCATCACAGTTACATCAGATTTGGACAAAGTGATCGTCTCCACTCCATTAAGGCCAGAACAAATAGATTTTAAAAGTCCTTTATTCCATATCACAGTCAGGGTGTTTCCAAGTCATTTGTTGTGTATATAGAAACCTAATTCATAAAGTGCTGTGTGTTTGAATGTTTTCTGTTTTCCATCTATTGATATAGTAGTAATGCTGAGGTGTACAATTGTAGTCAAACTGAATTTCCATTTGTTTGGACCAAAAAATTTTCTGTCTTTTCTTATTAATAATTATAATTTCCAAAATTTTGATTCTTATGTAATAGTATATGTTTTTATTACTATATTTATTAGCTAAATACTTTACACATAAGATATAGTTTAAATTTGCATGCATTACTTTGTACATTATATTTTTAGGACTTTATAAAGTCAATTGTAGAATTAGATTATAATCCAAATAAGGTTAATATTTGTTTTGTTCTTGACCTCCAACAGGCAGCACTAAAGGAAGAGCTGAACCCAAGTGTTTGTGTGAAATATGCTAACTTTCTGTACAGTCAGGCAAACTATGAAGATGCTGTCATGTATCTAGAAGACTCCATCAAATCCAGGAAAGACAATGAAGAAGAAAACATGGACAGGACCTTATTCTTTCCTCGACCATGGTCCTGCGATATAGTGTATGGAGGATTGGAACGGGTCACCCTTCCCGAACCACTCCAGGAAGAAGTGGATGCCCAAGAAGAAGCCATCATGCCAACATCCGTCTTGGCCTATTACATTTTGGTGCTATCCTACAAAATGTTAGGCAAACTTCGACATGCTGAGGATGCTCTGATCTCCCTAATGGGAGAGGTATACGCCAGAGATATTCCTTTCTTGTATTCAGTCCTTGGATATGCCTTCATGGAGCTGGGCTTGTTCAGTGAAGCTGCTGAGGAGTTTCACATGGCCTGGTACCTAGACAATGAATACAATCTGGCTTTAGATAACTATTGCCTATGTCTGGCTGCAAACACCTACAATATCTTGGAGAGAGCTTTCGCAACAATTTTCGTTCACTGCAAGATATGGAATGAGGATCAGAAAATAGCCCAGAAGGTAGCAAGTCTTCAAGGCTATTACAACTAAGGTGATTTCAGCAACTGCCTATAGGTTTTATCCAATTCATTGCCTTCATAAATCATAAGATACATTATTCTTCCCATTAAAAATAAGCCTAAAAAATCAATGGCTGTTTTAAAAAAAAAAACAATAAAAAAATAGAAAGGCAAAGAAATTAATGCTAATTTACATTTGAAATTGTAAAAATAGTTTTAGTAACTTTAACTGTTGATTCCAGTTATGATTTGAAATGATGATAAACAGTTTATAAATATAGGATTACTTTTTTTTTTTAAATCTAAAAATGTTCAAATCATATTTAAAGAATTTAGATTAGTTGCTTCAATGTATGTATATATATAAATATGTAAAAGCTAAATGAATATTTCAAAGAGCAAGTACAAATAAATTTTGAGAAGAATAATAAAAGTAATATTGAATTTAGAACTTGAAGTCAGTCTAATAAAATTTGAATGACATGTTTTGAATCTGATTGCATGGCTAATCTATGATACTGAAAATGTACTGACTAGTAACTCAAAATGATATTTTTTTTGTTGTATTTATTTTATTCTTATTTTTAAATTTCATTTAGACCAACTTGATCACATTTTTGTTAAGATAGAATGTTGGGCCTGATAAGAAATTGATATTGACTTATATCTAAAATAACCTTTGTATTTCTTAGAGTTCATAAAAATAGGTCAATAAGATTTTTGTTCTCTTTCTGCTTTTTTTTTCCTTTTTTTTTCATTCTTAAAATATGTTTCAAAAAAGGCTTTCTGTGATAAATTACTGTCATTTTTATTTTAGCAAAATAATCTAAATATTTCAAAATGTAGTTGGTTTAAAATTTTAAACAAAATTTCCACAAGTTAAAAAAAATGTTAATTTGCATTTTTCTATTTAGTCTGTGATTAACTGCTGAAATATATTTTTGAAATAATTGTTAAAACTTTGAATCTACTTTCTTTCTTAAACTGTTGTTCAATAAACTATCTTTGGACTGAATGGACTAGATAGGTTTTGTGTGTGCTAACATCAACGAAATTAATGAATTCTTCAAATTGTAGCGATGGTTGTGATGGTTACAAAACTGTAGATCTGATCATATCATAAATTACATGCAAGTAAAAAAACTGCCTTACTAATTAAAACTACTCTAATCAAATATTGTCTTTTTTTTTTATGGTGTTTTATTTTCTTTACGTTTTTTTGCATTAAAAAGACAATCTTTTTTTCAAGTATTTGCTAAAACAAATTATTTCCAAAAATAAGTTGAAATAAAAATTGAAATGAAATGATTTTGATCTGGTATAGGCTTATTTTGATGAGAAAAATGAATTTATTCTAAATATGTAGCTATTAGTTTAAGACTTTTAAGGTACATTTTAAAAGATATAAGAATTTTTTAAAAAATTTCTGCAAAACTTATTTTCTGCAATTTACTCTAGAATACTTTGACTTGTTGGATGTAAGTATTACATATAAAGCAGAATATTTATTTCTTTTTCTATATTTATATAATTTTGTAATAACCTTTGTGTGTCCATTTGTTTTATTCTCTTCCATTCATTCAACTGTGTAGCCAAGTCTACTTTCAAGTGTCACACTTTCCTAGCTAGTGTCCTGATATTGTCAGAAATAGTGCAATATATTTGAGTTGTCTTAGCTCCATAGGTTTCTGTTTCTTTAGCAACTGACAGAATCTATTCGAGTTTCAGCATTGATTTTTCTGAATTATGACTTATTGAACTATTTTATAATTGTAGTTAGAATTTTTAAATGCAGTGATAATATTGTTATATTTCTTTGATTGTTATTTGATTTTTAAATTTATTGATAGGCAAATCCAGTCGAATCAAATTTATACCAAAAAAACTTTTTTAACAGAAAGTCTGAATGATATGAATTTAGAAGTACACTGTTAACCACATTCCAATTTCCTTTAAACCAACATTTATTATTAGAAAGTCTTTTCTATTTACAAAAGCAATCTCAATCTTTTGTCTTCACATATAATTAAATACATTTGTGTATAATCTCTACATGCTTCTAACCATGCACAAACCCTTTTATTTTATATGACTTTACTCAGGGCCGGATTTAGGTGAAGGCTATAGCCCCGGGGCCCCCACAAAACAGATTTTAAAATGTCTTACTCTCCACAAACTCAAAAACATGTAAAATATAATTATTTTTTTTTACAAAAATTGCATAATAAAAAATTGTAACTTTTTTTTAAGTAGTAAAATTAGATAAAATTAACAAGTATTCAATTTCTTTCTTCTAGAATATGGCTTGCTATTAGCTATCAATATGTTTATTGATAAGTGTTAAAAAGTGGATTTTTATTAAAGCTTTAAAAAAAATTTTTGGGGTCTCCACACTCTTAAATCTGGCCCTGATTTTCATAGTAGAGATTTAACTTGAATAGTTTATTCTGCAAAATGTAATCCAATTCCTTTTCATACCTCACTGCATTGTGTCCATTGAACTGGCTTGATGTTCTAAAGCTCATGTTTATCAGTCAATAAATAACTTTGAAAGAATAAATGTTTTTTTGTTTTAGTTTCTTAATCTTGTATTTGAATGCATCCAAGAATTAATTCTACTTTTCATATTCAGTGATGTATATCACATTTTTCAAAGTTGCTTACATAGGTGTCTGCTCAAAAAATTAAAATTTATTAAAAACAATAATTAGAGAAACATTGATTGTTTATTATTTAAGTAACTATATACGGACATTTAAATAAAATGTATCAAAGGAATACAGAAAGAAATCTTGTCAATCTTAAAACTTGACTGTCCATTCCAACTCAATGTTTGTGTAACACCTCAAGAAATGAGAACATTCAGTGTCTAAAATAATTTGAAGTGCTCCTCCTCCCCTCCCAAACTTCCATTGGCTATTGGCGCTTCTTTGTTGCACAAATATTTGCTCAAAGATTAATGCCTTAGAGCAGGGGTGGACAAATTACGGCCCGCTGAAGTGTTTTATGCGGCCCGCGAAAACCTAAATAAATCAAGTGTGCCCACACATTACACATATAAAATTGCTAATATATTAAACATAAATTGTAAATATCTATAGAAATTATTGAAACTTTTGATTCATGTCACTTATAATGAAGAGGCTAAAGAAACATTGTCTCTAAACGTCCTTATAAAAAGTTTAAAGTAAACGAACATTATATTTAATAGCAATATTTCGATAAATTCAGTAAAAGTCATAAGCCCAGGCCAGTATTTATTCAATGCTATGAAGAACTGTGTTGAAAGAGTTGGGTTGGCTAGTACAAGATGGCAAGGGTAACAACTGATGGAGCTTTGACTAAGAAAATTTTTTTTTTTAATAAAATAAATATCCCAACCATAAACTAGTAACTGGAAAGTTTATAAATAACTAAACTGAATTCATATGAACTGTATAGCAAAGTAATACTCACATGCAATACGCATAGGGCTATCGCTCCCAGGGACGTCCCTAGGGATAGTTAAAGTATGCAGCTGCTAAGGACCATGATTGTTGTAGACTTCGCTAAAGAAATACACTTAGATTTAAAGAGAAGGAACAGCGAAACTTGTATTCAATGTTATTGATTGAAGTACACTAGGTCTTTAATAAATTGCATACTTTTAGTTTTTTCCCTTTATTTTGTATTTTTATATTTTATTCGGGGCCACCAAATTCCCTTCGCCTATTGCATCCAAGTATCCATGCCACCCCGACTGGCAGTTCCGAAAAGTACATGTAGATTTGGGATTCAAACATTCTGATATTCGGTAACACAGTAGTATTCGCTGGCCAATCATTAGATCAATATGGAATCTCAAGGAAGAAAATGTTAGGTTCCTAGATGGACATCGACTGTGACCCTTTCCTAATATTACTAATGAAGAGTTGAAGACAGACTTCATGTTTATCATCGGAAGCATTGCAATTTGTTGTTTGCACATGAAATGCATGTGCATCTTAAATCTTTTCAAACAAAGCTATTCCATTTCTTGAGGCCAGCAAGAGAAATTAAGGCTTTATCATTTTACCTTAGCTGAAAGGTGAAACTATTTCTAGTGAAATAGTTGAAAAGTACAAGACTTATTTGGATTCCTTGATTGTGGAATTTAAAACAAATTTTAAGACAAGAACTTGAAACCAGTTTTCAATAGCCTCAGTTCACCATTTAAAGCAGAACCTGGCTGAACTCCAGATGACATACCTCCAAGCAAATTATGACCTGAAAGAGAAGTAGAGAAGTTATAGTCAGTTCCTTCGCGGGAGTTTTATGGGTGCCAGAAGCTGTATATCCACACTTAAGAAACTTTAAATTTCACATTTTAAGCAACCACATTCATTTTTGAAAAAGCTTTTCTTTTTGTTTGAAAATTATCAATTGTTAGAACAGGTCGACAGTAGTCACAAGAAAAACTACAACTAGTAAGCTAGTTCTATGGTTCCGGAACATTATGCACGAGAGTAAACAGTTATGCGCTTCATATTAAGTACTACTATAAATTCGTGTTGAAATGATGGATGTAAATGGACAATAGCAAAATTAAAAAAAAAAAAATTCGTAAAATTAGTTTAAGAAATTGCTTGATTCATGAACATTGAATGAACTCCAATATATATATATACACATGCGGGCCGCCTAGTCCCCAAATTTTATTAATGCGGCCCTCGGTTGAAAAAGGTTGCCCACCCCTGCCTTAGTGGGTATTCTTATTAATACCCCCTCCCCAATTAACACCTATTCCGTTTGTTCCTATTAGACCCTCAATGACTTACTTTAAGAAGAAAATGGAGTTGTTTTTTTTTACTTTAATTTTGTTCTAGAGCATTAACCCAGATAGAACTAGCTAAAAGTCATTTGTTTACACACTTTGACAAGAACTAATGACTATGTGGGAATTTACAAGCTTAGATTGCGCATCTATCTAAACCTCATCTTAGTGAACGCCGTTCGGCGGTTTCAGAGTTGTTGTTTTTTTTAAATAGATGAATGAATGTATCAAAGAGCGAGTGGTACTACGACCATATATAGAATATAGATTATGCTTAAGGCATTTTAACTAGTCTAATCCTTTTCATGTAGTGTGCTTTTAATGCGCGCGCATCTGTATGGCTTCTGATTTAATCGTGATAATCAATAAAACAGTTCTGACACGAAGAGATAACTTACAATTACAAATAACTTACAAGTTATAAATACAAATTAGAATAAAACTAACGAGCTGCCCACCCACCAAGACTATTCGTGTGAATTGGAAATTCCTTTAAATCACAAACTGGTTAGATTCTTAGCCCGCCTTTTGAATGTAACCCCCCACGATGTACTTCTTTTCTTTTCTCTTTGTCCTCATTACTGCAAGAGTAGTAATTGAACAAAGAATGGGTAACCACTGTATGTAGATCAACTGAAGGGGGAGACGCGGTAAACGCTTGTGACAACTCAATGTAACAAGTGGCTGATGGCAGTTACATAATCCTATCTTATTTAATAGGGAAGATTCCATTTCTTGTTTGAGCTAGACTGATTTTTAGCGCTATGTTGTTGGTTGATACTAACTAGTGCATACTCGTAAAATTGTGTGGCCGTGCCAAGTTGGGCTGAATGACTACCGCGGCAACATTGAAATTATTTCTCTAATGGAATTTTTTTTTCTTTCTTAAAATAATAACGAGACGCCGTGAGACGGGTGCCACGAATAAAATAAATTAACGCCAATAGTACAGTCTTATCAATAGTCTTTACCTTTTTTTATTTTCAGAGGCATCGTAGATAAGCGTGGGCAGCAGGTGCGCTTTTTAGTAACTTTATTACGTATTTTATTTGTTTTAACTATTTGGATTTGCAACATCTGAAGGAAGATGGAAGAGAGGACGTCAAATATCACTTTCCTGAGTAACACCAAACATAAATAGAGCTATGCCACTCATAGACATGTGCTACACAGACCTGTGCTACATAGACCTGTGCTACTCATAGACATGTACTACATAGACCTGTGCTACATAGACTTGTTCTTCTCATATTATACATGTGCTATATAGACCTGTGCTACATAGACCTGTGCTATTCATAGACCTGTACTACATAGACCTGTGCTACTCATAGACATGTGCTACATAGACCTGTGCAACATAGACCTGTGCTACTCCGTGATGGTATGTGTTTTACTGGCTGCACATTTTATTGAAATAAGAAACAATGGAAATGAAAAACCTTTAGCTAAAATCCTTTTAAAAATACATTAATAATAGCTTGGCATAACGTTACATTCTGTCAAAAGTTTTTTTTTCAAGTTACAAAGTATAATGTTTAAAAAAAAAACAATCCTTCAAAGCACATAGCCAGGTAAAAAAGAGAAGAGAAAATGCGGCAGAACAGAAATGCAAAAAGGTTTTGGACGCTGTCGAAATCGAGACTAGGGTGAAGGACGTTAGAGTTAGGCCCTTATAGTCTGCTTCCCCCTACCACTTGAACGCCATCGCACTTTCAAAACAAACTTGATGGACAAATTGCACAGTCTGTATAAATAATTAGCTAATAACAAAATAATAAGGATAAACTAATAATAACATCTGACAAGTTTTAAAAAAACAACTTATTTGACCTATTGCCTATTGATCGCTACTCGATATATTATATGACTAGCTTTGGATAGACCGCCAAGACGATAACCGAATTTATTAGACTTTCATTTACCTGTCAGCTGACAACTATATTCTCACACTTGTATTCCAACAATTCCATTGTCTATTAGCTGGTCTCGAGTACTGAGAAAAAACTTCATCATTCCCTCCTCCAGCCGACACTTCCCTGTAGCTCTTATCACTGACCATAAAAAAATCTAGATAAATAATCAAGTGGGTAAGAGGGAAAAAAATGACAATCGTTTTAGAATAGACTGGAAGAGTAGCCTGCCGTAACCAAACGCGGAATAAGGCCGTGCTAATTTATGTGTTTTTTTTTCTCTTCAGCACTTGTTGAGCTGGAGGCTCTTGTAACACAAAAATATTACAAAGAATAAAAGTTCGAATGTATACAAAGCCTGGATTCCAGTTGGTTACATTAAAGTCTTCTTCAAGAAACACAAAAAATATGAAATTGTTCAGAACTAAAAAAAAAAAGCTCGTTTTATTCATTGCTGGATTTACCTAGAAGCAACATAAGCTATAGCTTAGATCTTCGCCGGCTGGGACCGCCCCCCAAAATAGTTACAGGGATAGTTTCAATCATTTTGTAAAAAGAGGAAAGGGAAACAAATTGCCTTACAAGGGGCGCTCCAGTAGATTTAGGGCTTTACATAGGTGAATCCGGTCCTGGTTTTATTCATTGATTGAAAGTTGGAATGTAATTTATGAAAAAAAAGTTATATTAAACAATGAAAATATTGGCGATGTTTATAAATATGTATTTTTGTTTACCTGATATATTTATAAAATCATATTTTGTTCGTATTTGTGTAAAAATGGTATTGATCACATGGGGTTTAAACCAATAGGGAATACGAAAATACCAAAAATGTATTTCATTACAGGAATTCAAA